TACTTACTTTATTCCGTCAATGTTAGAAAAACTATTGCTGCTGGTTAAACCGACTATTCATGGAATCCAGTCAACAATATCTAATGAATAGGCCTACTAAAATCGGCAATGACTATCAATAATGTATTTACTACAACATCCGCAGTTTCTACCTGTTTTGCCCAATATATATAACATAACATATAACATACCTAAGTCATCACCAACTCAGGACAAATATACGATAGCATAAGATGCACTTCTTGAACTATAACGCGGGTATTCATGTGAACATTGATGTTCTCAAACGACGAAATTACTAAATCCCATATATCCCAAAAACGCACTCCAATACCACCAAACACACGACGTATCATTCTGTTCATGTCATAGAAGACCCAGTTACTACTATGCACACTTTGCTCTATAGATTCATTGTCACGCGGATGTGATAGTTTTATCAGCACAATTGATTTGGGACATCTTGACAGTAGATTTTGCACAGCCAATTTAGCATGATATAATCTTTCTAAGTATGCCCGGTTTGTGAAGGCACCAAAATGGTATGCAAAGTTTAAAACGATGACATGATTTGCAATAGAGCAATTTACCTGAGAGATTCTGTCTAGACGATCACTTTCTAAAACCCCTTTTTTGAATCGCATGACAGCATTTGCTACCATTGGAAAAACAAAGGTAGAGATAATGTGTTTTATTTTGAATGTATTCTTCAGTACCATTCCTATTTGCATTAAAGTTGAATCACCATAAAGAATGATCTGTTTATCAGCTAGACACCTTGCTGCTTGGTCTATCGTCCACTGCTGACTTTTACATACCAGAGGCACAAATACAGATTTGTTGTACCAATATCCATCGCTCAGCGGTATACGCAAGTCTGCAGCGCATGGTTTCAGTTTTTCTTGTGGGAGCAGTGCATCTGATATGAGAATATGTATTAGGGACAAATGGCAGCATGAAGACATTAAACTATTAATTTAACACTTATCGTTACCTTATCGTTCAGTATTTCAATTATAATGTATTAATATTAAATAGATTCCATATTATATAAATAATTATGCATAATTTTAAAGTCGCCGTACCTTCGATTTGTAATTTCAATGATAACTGTTCGTTATATTTTCTGTAAAATTATAAACAAGGGTTACATTAAACATAATTATTGCACCACAAGCATTTACTTTCCACCCAACAAGTAAAAGTCATCAGTTTATGTTATATATGCATTAATTTATTTAGTGTAATGTTTGATATCGCCCTCCAAATCATCCGGTCTTCTCCATGATCAATATGCTAATTGAATGCATCTTGATTGTTCATTGTCAAGGGCGTGTTAAATGACTTCGTAATTTGGAAAGGAGAATTGTGTTTCAATTTGTCCGCAATGATACATTTCAGGATACGCCGATAGGCATATGTACGCAGTTAGTTGGTGCCAAAAATATAAAGCAGATTGTGAAATAGGAATGTAAAAGCTATGATAAGATACGTCATAATTCAAATGAATAGCCACATCAAAGTAGAACCGTAGCGCAATCAAGCCATCTCAAAATTT